CCCTGAGAAGACCTGGGAAGGGGAGTTCTTGCAGGCTCCCCGGGAGCTGTCTTCCCCTCTCCAAGCCCCCCAGATGTCATGGGATGGTTTGGTGAGGGTATGCCTGACCCAGGGATGGGCATCAGACCCATCGTTTCTGAAGCTTGGTTGTCAGATCATCCCCCACCCCCACTCCCACCCAGGAGCCCGACCCTGGGAGCCCTTCTGTAACTACATATTCTTTTGATTGATTTGGGGTAACAGACAACTGGGCTGTAGGGAGAGCCCCGACTTGGGAGCTGAGGGTTTTTACTCCTGCTGCTACTGTTAACTAGTCTGGTGCCTGACCTGGAGCAGGCTTTTAGCTGGTTTGCTAATTCATGGTGAGAGTCAGCCTCCAGGTGGGCGGCAAGCGCACTGGCCCTGGAGTCAGGTAGACTCACACCCGCGTCCTGGCTCTGCGTTCCTGGGCTCTGGGAGCCTGCGTGAGATGTAATCTCTCTAAACTTAGTCTTCTCCTCTGTAAAGCAGGGATAATAATGCCTTCCTCAGGGGGTGGTTGGAGGGTTAGATAAGAGCACATGCCAAGCGCCCAGTGCAGAGTGAGGGCCTGACTTAATAGACTGTACTGATTGCATAATAGTCAATCCTGAGATTCAACAGGCTGCCTCTTTTCCATGGGAGCTGGCAAGGTCCCCCAGTCCTGAGTAGGACTCGAGGGGAAAGTGGCATCCTGACAAGATCAATCCCAGAGCCCAAGGCCGGGAAGGAGGTTGGGTGGTGGGTGTCTGCAGCCTGTGCAATGGGGCCCACTCTCCCACACAGCTTCCAGAAAACTGCTGTCCAGCCTGCCCTGTCTGGCACAGCTGTACTGGTTGCCAAACAGTTCCTTCCTTGAGCTCAAAGGCCTGAGTACACCTGGTCCTTGCTCTAGGACCCCCCCAGGAGCTGAAGTACTAATGCCCGTCCTCTTCGAGAGCTGCAGCCCAACTGACGTGGTACCTGGCTATGCCTGTTGTTAAGTATTTTGACCTTCACCCTGATAACAAATCCCAGCCAGGGCACCTTGTTCTAGGGACGGGCTTGTCCAAGTCCCTAAAGTTTTGGTCCTTCCCACACCACAAGCAGCCCTATAAACTTGGGTTCCATAATCTCTCTGGCTTCTGGTTCCCGTCTGCACAGTCACAGACACTGGGCTTTGTTCTGATGCGTCTTCCTACTGTAGATCAGTTACTCTGGGGCCATCAGTTATATAATCAGTTGAGCTGATTATATCAGGAGCAAAATAAGTACACTCATTTTAATCCAAGAAGGTCATTTTTGATTTGTCAAAGTCTGATCTTTTTATTTTGGTATTTTTTATTATTATTAAAAACAATCAGTTAAGCCTTTCTATTCTTTATCCCCTAAGTATGCCTGTGTAGAAGTTAGATACTGACTTGTAGTATTTTTTGGAAATGTATTGATTTCACATATTTGTGGGGTACAATTATATTTCAATGCATTTATACAATGTGTGATGATCAAATCAGGGTAATTAGCATATTCACCATTACAAAACTTAATCATTTCTTTACGATAAGAGTATTCTATCTCCTCTCTACTGGTAATTCCATGACACGCAGTAAATTATTGTTCGTAATAGATACCTAGCTCAACTGTGCACCAATAGAGTTTATTTTTCTTATCTAGCTGTTATGTGTCCATTAACCAACCCCTCACTACCCCCCCCCACTCCCCTTTCCTGCTTCTAGTAACCACAGTTCTGCTCTCTCTCTGCAAAAAGGTCATTTTTCACAGACCCAGTTCCTGGAATGCATCTGGGCCCCAGATCTGAGTTCCCTATTTCTGTGCCTTCCTCCCAGCATGGACCCTCTGGGACATCTCTCAAACCCCCTTCTAGGCTCTATCTCTCTTTTTTTTTTTTTTGTCTTTTTTCGTGTCCGGCAACGGATCGCAACCCTCAGTGTCGTGCCCGTACTGGACCAGGACCGGCAATGGCATCGCAACCCTCGGTGTTGCGCCTGCACCTTGCTCAGCCAGTGAGCGGGAACTGGTCTGTATGTGGGATCCGAACCCTCGGCAGGAGCCTCAGTGTCGTGCCCGTACTGGACCAGGACCGGCAATGGCATCGCAACCCTCGGTGTTGCGCCTGCACCTTGCTCAGCCAGTGAGCGGGAACTGGTCTGTATGTGGGATCCGAACCCTCAGCGGGAGCGCCGCCGCGCTCCCAAGCAGCGCACTGTAGCAGTGCGCCACCGGGCCGGCCCCAGGCTCTATCTCTGTGCTGGCAAAATGTAATTGGGTCTCTCCTGAAAATGTTTGAGCTAGAAGGTGTGAACTAAGGCTCAAGGTGGACCAAAAAGAAGCCCTCTGTGGCTACTAGAAAATGGGAACTTCTCCAAGGATCTTTTACAGCTCTGATGTACTCTGGATGCTCACAGAAAGGGGAAGACCATGGAATGTGTCAGTAGAAGTGCAGCTGGTAAGAGCCCAGCAAGTAGAAGGATTTTCAGAGGGAGGGGTTATTTGGGGGCTTTGGAGGAATTCAGGGTGGAAAAGAATCTGTCAGGAAAATTGGTTCTAAGAAAGGAAGACCAAGGACAGGAAGGTAAGCTCATGTTTGCCAAGGGTGCTGTTAAGTAAGGTGAGTGCAGAGCAGTGCTTCTGGACACAGCTTGGAGAATTAGAGCTGGATTCAAACTTGGGTTCCCCTGATTCCAGCCGAGAGCCCCACGTCAAAGGACTTAGCCCCTGATTCTCCACCTGTAAAGTGAGGCTGATAATACCTGCTTCATGGGGCTGCTGTAAGGATTAACCACGGTACCAGAGAGAGAATATGCACACAGCACCCGGCACATGCAAATACTCAGCAGACGGCAGCTGATGCTGCTGTTATTGTTGCTGAGGTAGTCAGAGTAGGAAAATGGTTAACCTTATTGGAAGGTATTGGGGTTAGATGATAGGGGAGAACTCTTCCTGGGGGCACGGAGACCTTGAGTGAGGTCCCGGGGGAAGCTGCGGGGGTTCTTTCCCTTCCAGAGCAGACACTGAAGGAGCCGGGCTGGCCTGTGGGCAGCCCCTCCTGCAGGCAGCAGAAGGGCTGTGATGGCCGAGAGGACCATGGGCCCTGGGTTCAGAGCCCTGAAATGCTATGGAACATCCCCGAGGGCTGAGCTCAGCCTGGTTTGAGGCCTCCACAGCTCCCTGCTTGCTCCAGTTGCCCTCTGAGAAAGTGGACCAGTGGGACGAGGCTTTGCCAGAAGTGCCCTCCTGGTGAAAGTCCACTCCTGCCTCCTCATTAGGCCAGACCAGGACTCACGCTCTGCCCAGGCACAGAGTGAACAGCCCACTGAGCCTGGGGGGGGCTGGCCAGAGGCCACAGCCATGTTTCCAGAACCAGGAGAGAGGCAGTGCGTGTAGCCTTTGGCCCAAGTCACAAGGCGCACAACAGAATGCTGTTAGAGCAAATTACTGGTCATGAAAATATTCAATATTTCAGAATTAATCTCACAAAAGGAATCTTCAGACCTGTAATTGCCAATTTGACTTTTGTTCTGATTTTGAGGCAGCTGTTGGGGAGAGAGAGGAAGAGACCCTAAAATTTAATTATGTGTCAATCTCAGGGACTACATCAATTAGCTTTCCCAGAATCATAGTTCTATTGTTGCTGGTTAGAATTAAGCCCCAGAAAATTCTAGAAGGATCAATATCAAAATGATAACAGTGATTGTCTCTGAGTGGTGGGATTATGGGAACTCTTTTTTTATCTTTATACTCTATGTTTTCCCCCAAACTCCAACATTATTTAAAGGCAGAAAAGATGATTGGAGGATACTTCGTAGCTGTGAGATAAAGAGAAGCTGGAGAGGCTGGGAGAGGTGGTTAAAGGGCACCTGGGAGGCAGAAAGTAATGGGGTCCATTGGGGACAAAAGTGGAACAGTGGTGGATGTGTGATTTATAGGGTACAGGGGAGACCAGGGAGGGAAGTGGGCAGGGCCTGAAGGGTAGGCTCCCCCTTCCCAGACACTGTGGCCTGGACGGAGGTTGCTCGCGGGGGTGAGCTTGAGTTGATGGATGGGCCCCAGGAAGCAATCAGAAACAGAAGAGGAATGGGACACAGGAGAAATATCAGCACCAATGAGCAGGGCTCAGGGTGTGTCCACACCCCAAGTCATTAGGACGAAATACTATGGGAGGCAGAAACCTCAGGGCTCCTGTCCCCTGGGGTGAGAGGCATCTGACAGGAACCAGTCATCAAATCAAGAAAGATCATATTGCATTCCAGCCAAACTTCACAAGTATTTCTAGCAAGAAACAGCAAAGAGGCAGAGGCAGAGGCAGATTGTTTGCTAGGAGGGGCAATAGAGTGGCCAGAAAGATATAGGGGAGGGTGCCCTGGGGTAGGAGCCTGTCAGGCAAGGGAGATGTGAATGTTCTGGGCTGGAGCAAAGTGGTGGTGAGCACCTGACGTGAAAACTCCCAGTGAGTACCTGTCGACCTTGATCAGTGTCCCTTGCCCCTCTGAGCCGCACTGTGCCTGCCTCCTGAGCAAGTTGCCATCCTGGGCAGGCAAAGGAAATTCTTCTCCGTGCGTGGGGTGGGTGGAGGGAAGTGTGAATAAGAAATGATTCAATGGAGAGAAGAGAGTGGAGACACCTCAGCACTCCCTTGCCGTTAGTGTTCACTCTGTGCTTAGTTAGGGCTAGAACATCCATCCATCCCTTCATTCATCCGCCCATTTGTTTAACAAACATTTATTGGCACCCCTACATATCAGCATGCTGCAGGTACTGGAGGTACAGAGATGAAAAGCCAGACAGGGTCCCAGGCACTCAGGAGCCTCCAGAGCCTTCCAGGCTGGAGAGAAGGCAGATGCCTGAGCAAACAGTGACCCAACAGCGTGGAAGTTCCTGTAATGCAGTGGACAGGTCTGGGGAGGCTGTGGGAAAGTCTACCCAGTGGCAATGGCCTTGGGGTGATGCTTGAAGAGTGAGTCCACTGTCCTCTCAATCCACAGGAGGGTCTGTCTCCATGCCATCTGCTGACAGTGAGGGTCATCCGGATGAAAAACGTCCGGCAGGCAGATGTGGGTGAGTATCCTCCTCTCTCACCTTCTTCTCTGCTTACAGGGCCCAGATGGAGAGAGGCCCTGGCTGGAGAAATAGTCCTGCGTGTGCATGTGTGCGTGTGTGCGTGTGTGCGTGTGTGTGTGTGTGCGCGCGCGTGCATGTGTGCGTGCTTGCGTGTGTGTGTGTGTGCGTGTGTGTGTGCATGCGTGTGTGCGTGTGTGTGTGTGTTCTATACTCAGGTTGTACTTCAGTCCCAGAGATGGCAAAGATACCAAGCAGGGTTCAGACTGAGCCATGCCAGTGCGAGCAGTTCCAGCAAGTATTGAGTTTGGGCCTTTATCTGCCAAGTGGCTAACCACAGGGTCAGGGACTTTTCAGGCTCCTTGGGGCTTTCCAGTCCACCAGTGAGTGATCTAAGGAGTCAGTGAGTGTCCCCTGGGCCCAGGACATGGCCGCCTTTCTGCCTTTCTTGCCCATGCCATGGTGGGTCACTCAGACACTCCATCCTCTCTTGGGCAATTTACACCCTTGCCTTGGGGATAACCACAGCTCCCATATGCCTGCAGCAGCACTCACCTTCCTCTGACTCCCATGAGGTGCATCCATCCCAGCCCCTCAAGTCACCCTGGCCACACGCTCTCACAGTGCATGTCCGCACCTGGTGCACAGACCGTCCCGTTGTCCAGGGCCCTTTTCCTCTCTCCTTCATGCCATATTGCCACCCAGAGGCCAGGGGTGTCATGGGGTGGGGGCAGGCAGCCAGAGAAGCAGGCTGTGGTCTGGCTCCACCAGCATCCGCTTCCCTTCCCCACATGCCCCTTTGGCATACAGGCTGCCCTTTGGGGGTACTCGGTCCTCCCCTGAGGAACAAGGTGGAGGGCAGATATGGTGTCTGGGGCCATCATGTCAGGACACCATGTAAATACGGCTATGTTTCTACTTCCCTGGGTTAGGTTTGAGACTTTCCTGATGACTGTCAGGTCCTGGGTCACTCTTGCCCCAAATTGTTCCCTTCTTACTTGAATCCTTAATGAACAGCTCTCTGATTTAGTCCTTTAACCTGTGCCCAAGTTTCCCAAGATTTCAAAGAGGCTGAAAGGCAGTGAATACACAAAGATTCAGGGATGGCCCCCTCATCAATAACTAAAAGAGTGCTCCACCCAGCCCGGGTCCAGAACTGAGAGACAATCAGGCCCCAGAAACCTCCCAGTCATCACTCAGGGAGACAAATTAAAACCCAAACCAACACCCCAAGGGGTGTCAGGCAGGTGTCTACAGAGGTATTAGGGTGACAATATTCTGAAGAGATCACAACATTCTGAAGAGATGACAACATCTGTAGAGATCATTGAGTCATCTCTGCCACCCACATCTAGGAAAGGAGATATGTAATTCAGATGACCAAGCCATCTGTCACTCCATGAGGAACAAGGATTGGAAACTATCCATGCCTAGGAAATCCCCTGTAGTCACGAAATTCTCAGAACTGGGTCACGATTGCTTAACCATTCTTCCTTGCCAACATGATGGTCACTATCCTTACTGTCAGCTAATGGTGCCTGCCCCAAGTTGTCACCTGGGCTCTGGCTGACCTTCCTCCATCACTCCCCCTCCTCGGAATACCCCCTCCTTGGCTGCACTCTCCTTTTCAACCTTTGGTGGGGCAGGGGAGAGAAACAGCTCTCTGCAAAAGAACAGGAAAACAAATACTTGGAGTGTGGGTATCTGATCAATCTTATCTCTTCCAGGAGTATTTTTATCTTAACTAGAGATTTCAGCCTTAAGCCAAAAATACTGAGATTTTATGTAATAGTTTTAATGGAAGAATTTTTGGCAGGGACTGACAATAGGAAAGTGATTTTAGGGGGAAAAGTGCCTTCACAGGGTCCACTGAATCATGTGTGCTGAGCAAGAGTTACAGGGCCAGCAGGTGGAGATTTGATTACTCCCTGCCTGCAGGCTCCCAGCACACACGAGGCAGACCTGAGGAGAATGCTCCAGGCCCAGGAGGAGGATTCAGTGTCCAGGAAAAGCCAAGGGAGGGGCCCAAGAAGGCTGAGCAGGTCCCTGGTGAGTCTCCATATCCGCAGAACAATTAAATGCGCTGACCTGCTTACTTATATCTGCAGTCACACGGCCCAGAATTTCTTGGGTACTGATATGGCCCTACAGCAAGAAGTTGGGTTTTTCCATTCATCATTTATTCAACAGCTATCTAGTGAGTGCCTACTATGTTCCAACGGCTAGAGACACTCCGTCTCCCGGCCCTCACGGTGTCTACAGTGATAGAGACAGACGAGTGGACTTGCCATTGCAGTGCAGTGTAGTGCGTGCTCCGCAGGAGAGGAACAGAGGGCTCTGGGCAGCGGACACCTGGACCAGACTTGGGCACTCAGGGAAGGCTTCCAGAGGAGTTTCCTTCTGAAGCCTGAAGAGGCTAGCCGGGAGAAGGGTGGTGAAAGTAGAAGAGAAGGCTGCTCCAGGCGGTAGGAATGGCACATGGGGAGGCCTGAAGACAAGACAGCGTGACACTTTTAGAGACCTGAGTGGTTGGGTTTGGTCGGAGTCTAGCCTGTGAGTGTGAGTGTGTGTGTTCGTGTAAGTGCATGTGTGTGCACACGTGAGCGTGTGAGTGTGAGTGCACACACGCCGCATGGTAGGGGCGGGGTGTCAGGGCAGGTGGAATGATGAGGCAGAGGCTGGGGAGTTGGGCAGGGGCAGCCACGCTGAGTGGCTAGGACTCCTCCTTAAAGGATCTTAAACTGGGGAGTGACACAGTCATATCTAAAACTCCCTCTGGCTTCTCCTGGGAGAAAAGACTGGAGTAGGGCAAGACCAGAGACAGGGAGACCATTTGGGAACTGGCTCAGAGATGACAGTCGCCCACACCAAGGCGGTGGCAGTGCAGATGAGGAGAAATGGGCGGGCTCCAGAGATATCAAGAGTTAAATCAGTTCAACGTGAGAGTCAAGGGCAATGCTTGGTTTCTGGCCTGGACACCTGAGTTGCTGAGGAGCAGGTTGGGCATGGAGGGGATGGGTGGGGATGATGAGCTCAGCATCTTCTTTGGATTCTGTTGGTTTTGGTTATTCTTTTTGCCTGGATTAAATGATCATTATGACATCTAAAGGTTGTGTCATCTCACCTTCATTTAATGGGAGGACGGATGTGAATTCCAACTCACTCCAGGAACATGTATGACGCACACCATGCTCACTTCCTCTGATAAAGCTTTCAGTGTAATGACAATGCAGGACTAAGTCAGTCCCAGGGGACAACCCTGCATCCACTCTCATTAGCAATTATTAATAATAATTATCAATAGCTTGGATCAGTCCTACTGGTACAGAACTCCCATCCTCATACCAGTTTTCCATTTGGAGGACTCTCTGACACTGGAAACTGTGTTGACTTTTACCATTTTCTACGTATCTGGTGTACACGCTGGGACTGACCCCAGAAGGTTGCCAGGAGAGTGACAAAGACAGTCAGGGCACCTCTTCCTCCCTCCTCCTAGGTAGAGTGGAGGGAGGGAGCCAGTCTGGGCTGTTATTTTTCACCCTTCCCCTTCTGCTGCTGCAACCAGAAGATTTAAGAGGCCTTCCTCCATTTGGGGAGAGCTTATTGGGGTCAAAGACTTTGTCTCTTCTCTAGAGCACATCCAGCAACATCACACCTGGGTTATTCACTTCTCCTTAGCTCAGAGGAGTATCTTGGCCCTATTTGGTTTCCCTGATGCCCTGAACTAAGGCAAAAGCTAAACTGGATGCTCTGGGGCTGGTCATCCAGATCTTCCCCTAGCAGAGGGAAAACTGTATGGGAAAACCTTGTCCCAAACCAGCAGGTGTTTGCTCAGAGATCGGGTGCTTCTGATAAGAACCAAAGGCCATCTGTATCCATGAGAATGCTCAGTGGGACCTGCATCCCCCCTGTGAAACCTCTAGCCTGCAGTCTATGACCTTCTCGGGGTTCTGGGACAAAGATCTCTGGAGGGTTAAACCCATGAGTCAGGAGAGAACCTGGAGCTGAGATGAAGCCTTCCTCTGGAAGAGACTTGCCTGAAGTCACCTTTGACTCCATGCTCTCTCCTCTCTGAACCTGGGCTGATTCCTCATCCTTCCCTTCCACCCTTGTCTTCCCTGGACAGTGAGCCAGACAGACTGCTTTGTGAGCCTCTGGCTACCCACTGCCTCTCAGAAGAAGCTAAGGACTAGAACTATCTCCAACTGCTCAAACCCAGAGTGGAATGAAAACTTCACCTTCCAGATCCAGACCCAGGTGAAGGTGAGACACAGCAGACTACACCTTTCTGCCCTGCCTGCATTTCTATTCCCCTCTCACCTGCCTGTTCTTCTCTTTGCTCATGTGTCCTTCTTATGCCTGTTTATTATTCTGTCTACCTACTTCTTGTCCTACCAACCCGTCTTCCCACTCACCCACAACTTCCTTATTCCTGTCTCTTATTTGTCCCTGTCTGAGTCTATTTACCTTCTACCTTCTTTCTGGTATCTTTTATCCTTCTATCTAATTACTGCTGGAACGTGGAGTCTGTTGCCCAAAAACAGATTGTATTTCCAGTACCTTCAAAAGCATGCTCTAAGGGCAATACATAGAGGGGAAGAGACATTCTATACACTAGGTCCAAGGCCAGATTAATTCCAACCAGAGAGTCTTCTCTCTCTTAAATCCTTTTCAGATTGCTTTATTATTTCTATTTCCTTGGGTGTGTGTTCTTTCATCTGTTGAGTTGTTGTTTCATGGTGTCAGTTGTCTTCAGATACATGGTGAATCTAAGTTGAGTTCACATCTCCCGTGGAAGAATTCTCCCTTGAGCATGCTGAGTTCTGACAGCCTCAGCAGAGAGCCCTTAAGACAAATTTGTCCTCATCGTGGAGGCATCAATCCCAGTCTTGAGGCACTTGAGGCTTGACAGCTCCAACTTACTGCCTCCATACTTTAGGGATGCTTCTCCATTCTGATTCATGAAGAGACCTTTTTGTTTTCAAGAAGGGCTTTCCAGGCGGGCCGATTAGCCCAGTTGGCTAGAGTGTGGTGTTAGAACACCAAGATCAAGGGTTTGGATCACCATACCAGCCAGCCACCAAAAAAAAAAAAAGAAGAAGGCCTTTATATCTCTTATTTTTAAAATACCTTTTCTATCATATATGGGTTTGGTGAGGGAGAAGGATTTTGGTGTATGCTCAGTCTGCCATCTTGAAATCAGAATTTGGGCTTCCTTTTTTCTTAAGGATTGTGGGGCTGCTGGGTTGTTTCTGGAACATACTTGGGTTTCTAATAATTACAGGATCAGCAGATCTCATCCAGTTGGGAAACCCCAGAAACACCTTATGTCCACTAGATATGGACCTCAGACACAAATCCAGTCCCAATCCTCATCTCAGAGGATTCTTAAAACAAGAGGCCTCAGAGACTAGTCTAGGTCATCTGAGACAGTTGACCTCAGAGTTCAGCCAGATGACAGGGTAGCTGCTTGACTCTTAGCATGCTGCTTTAGAACCATCCTTGAGACCTCATTAGGGGCTGATGAGTCAAAGGATGGAGTTCACACACTTCACCCCAACCCCACCAAATATCAGAACATCATCACTCCCCTGGAGTGTTAAGATGTTAGCTTCTCTGATCTGGGTTTTCTAGCACCATCGGGGCTGTGTTCACTCTCAAGGGCCCAATGCTGGGCACATTCTGTATCTTAGCAGGGGTCTTGCTTGCTCTGTCCCTTCCATCCTTCCCTCAGGTGAAGTGATATCCCTCCACACATAACAGGCCTCTGCCAAGCTTGTAAAAGGGCCAACTTGTCCAGGAGGAGACTCAGAGCAGAGGGGTGGGAAGTCTTCAGGGAGTTGGAAAGGAGAGAATAGACACTTTCCTCCCTTAATTCCTTTCCCTGCAAATGTCTCTCATGCCTCAGCAGGGACCTCTGAGCTGTCCCCCCTCTCTCAGATCTACCTCCTTGCTAGGTCTGAGACCAGGCCCTCTGGTAACCGGACTCACTCCCTCTCTTCTCTCCTAGAACGTGCTAGAGCTGAGCGTCTGTGATGAAGACACAGTGACACCAGATGACCATCTCTTGACAGTTCTCTATGACCTTACCAAGCTCTGCTTCCGAAAGAAAACCCATGTGAAGTTCCCACTCAACCCAGAGGTGTGTGTGGCAACCCTGGCCCTCTGCCTCCTGCATCCTGAGGAGCAGCTGGTCATTCCCACAATGCCATTCCACCGCTCCCCTCTGTGTCCACGGCCAGTTGGAAGAGATGGTGCTGCTGGTTCAAATCCCAGCACTATTGCCTACTAGCCACATGACTTAACTGCTCGTGGAAATGACTTAACTGCTCTGAGTTTCTGTTCCTTATCTACACAATGGTGGTAATACTACCTACCACAAGGGGTCGTCGTGAGGCTTGAATGAGAGCATAGTTAAGGCATCTAGCAGTGTTCACAGTACAAAATGGAGATGTAGTAAGCATTGGTTCCCTTTCCCCTTTTCTTCCCTCATCCTGTTTCTGGGATGGCCTCAGGGAACAGAGGACAGATGGGGGCAAAGGGGGGCAAGTCTGCAAATCAGAGAAAGTCAGGGCTGGAGAGGACAGGATGGGATGGTATAGATGCAATCATTCAGCAAATACTTGCGTGCCTGCTGTGGGCCAGGCGCTGTTCTAGGCACTGTGGACATATCAGGGAGCAAGCATCCCTGCCCTCATCTAGTTTACACTCCAGGGGGATAACTGAGGTCCAGAGAGGTCATGGCTTGCCTCAAGTTACACAGCAAGAGAAGTGAAGGAAAGGGTGAGGGGGAAGGAGCCTGTCCCCTCAGAGCTGGGCTTCTGGAGGCGCTGTCTCAGCGCTGCCCTGCCCCAGGCACCGAGCCCCTTGGGAAGGCAGGAGAGCAGTGGGAAGCTGGGGTCAGAAATGAAAAGGAAATGTCTGGGACAGAGAAGTTCACATGCTGGGCCTGGGGGTCAACTCCATACCCTGCCTTCCCTTGGGGTGTCAGTGATGTTCCTGATGTCCAGACTTGGGGACAGAGAGAGACAGAGAGGAAACAAGAGCTGGGAGCAGCTGTCCCACTCCATGGCAGCAGAGTAGCCATGTGGGAAGGACAGGGACAGGTCCACAGGGGCTCCTGGGGCAGCCCAGGGTCCTGGTCAGCAGAGATGTGCAGACCCAGCCCACAGACTCCTTCTCTTCCTCTCCTGCCAGGGCATGGAAGAGCTGGAGGTGGAGTTCCTGCTGGAGGAGAGGTGAGTAGGCCCCAGCACCCCTAGGCTCTGCCACGGTCCTGACCTTTGAGTGGCTTCTGGGAACAAGCATTTCAGAGCCAGGTCTTCCAGCCTCAGCCCTGGCACTAACCCTGGCCTCCTCACTGTGCATCAGAATCACTTGGGATCTCCCAAATAGTGTAGGTGCCTGGGCCCCACCTCTGCTCATCCAGTTCTGCTGACATCAGTGTTGCTTTAAAGATCTGGTGCTCTGGGCCGGCCCGGTGGCGCATTCGATAGAGTGCGGCGCTTGGGAGCGTGGCGGCGCTCCCACCGAGGGTTCGGATCCCATATAGAGACCAGTCCGCTCACTGGTTGAGCACGGTGCAGGAGCGACACCGAGGGTTGTGATCCCGTTACTGGTCACGAAAAAAGACAAAAAGGAAAAAAAAAAAAAAGATCTGGTGCTCTGGCCAAATAGCCTGCCTTAGTCCCCCTGCATTTCTGAGGGTGGTCTCTGGGAAAAACACCTGCCACCATGGTGATGGGGGCCTTATTGAGGCCCAGCTGAGAAAGAGGTCAGGACCAAGGGGTCTCCCCCTTGACCCAGAGCTGTTAGAACAAACACCCCCAAACCCTGGCCTAAAGCAGAGGCTGGCCCCTTCTGCAGCCAACTCTGGAACCATATAAGCAAGGAGGCTCAGGCCCAATGTGTAGAGTTGTTTCCAATAGGAAAATGAGCTAGGGTCTTGGAGGTATGACTGTGCTGGGGACTCACAGAGCTGGGGGAGGGAAGAAGAGGACAGAGTGCAGGAAGGAAAGGAAGAGACAATGAGGGAGGGGAGCAGGGCTCCTGCCCAGGGGGGACAAGCCCTGCCCCACGATGGGCAGTGTGCCTGGTGACTGGCAGCCTACTCCTCCACTCTTCTTGACCCTGGCAGAGCACAGGGGGAGGATGCAAGGCATGAGATAGGACAAGAGGGACTGTCACATTCCACTGCCTAGGAGATCTTAGGGACAGAGAGAGGTGGAGAGGCAACTTCCCATGTGGGAAGGACAGGGGCAGGTCCGCAGGGGCTCCTGGGGATCTATTTCAGGGAACTAATTTCCCATCAACAGCTGGTTGGCAAATTAAAATCAACTTTATTTCACATTGAAGAAAATCTAGGTTCTCTCCTCCAATTCCTGGTTTGGCAGGACTTTTGGGGGTGTAGGGCAGGATTCCTTGGCTGAATTAGAAAGTGGCTTGCAAAATGAAATATGTCAAAATTGGTAATTCTGTGACTTGATCTGAAGAAATAGTTAACTTGGGCTTAAATTTGATGAGGGAGGCTGTGAACTCCCCCAGGCTTATTGAAACCTTGAAGGCTTGTATTCTCAACTTTGCAACACCGAGACATTTAACGTTCACCAGGCCCCTCTCTGGCTGGGTCAGAACTATCTGTTATATGCTTAAATTAAATAAAACACAGAGTGGAGAATGGGTCATTACTGCTGCCAGGACAGTTTGCGCCTGCTCTCACCAGTGGGCTGCAGCCTGCTCATCCTCCTAACTCCCTGCAGTACCATCTGTTTGGGCATAAAGAACAGTCATCCTTTTTTAAAAATGGAACTCCGCTACTCCTAGCCTATAAATCTATTTTTTTCTGGGCATTCTATTTAAAATGTATGCCAGTTTCCTCCTTAACAACCTACAAATCTGTTTCTTAAGCCAATACTTTCCATGAAAACCAAGAAGGCTCTGCTGTTTTACTATCGGCTCTACTTACACTCTTTGTCACCTTTACGAGAAATCAATCCATAAAGATTAGACTGACCAGGAGTTCCCCTTTTGTCTTTCAGTCCCTGTCCACCTGAGACTCTCATCACCAATGGCGTGCTGGTGGTAACTGTCCTTCTGGGTTCCTGTAGCTCCAGAGGCCACATCTGGCTGCTGCTCTCAGGGGAATGACCAAGGGAGAGAACACTGGGCCCAGTTTGGGTCCTTGTCCCATCCTGAGCCCAGTAGGAGTCAGACTACATGAGGCCAGCCAAATGGGGTACAGGCAGGGTGGGGGTGGAATAACTGGGACATCGCCCTGGCCCAGCACCCCATATTGCACAAGTATGACGCCTCCTCTTGGGAATCTCCCCAATAAAAGCACCCACTTAAGGTAGCCTCCTTCCAGACTCAATCCTGGTCCTGTCCCCCACAACCCCAATACCTCTACAGGCACAATTTCAGTACTAAATTTTTTTCATAATTCAACTGTTGGTACAGCTATTTTAATTAAATGCATCCAATGCCCCAGGGTCCAAGGAAACCTCTCCCTCAAAAATCAGAGTCTTTGGGAATTTGTAGCAAAAGCATTTGACCTGCCTCTAGTTCTTGAGAAAGCTGTTTGGTTGGAAGTTCTCACTGTCAAAGCCCAGAGCTTAACATTCTCTCAGGTTGGATCTCCGACCTGCACCTGGGAACATGGCCCCTAGTCAACTGTGGCCATGCATCCTAGAGTTTACAGGACAGCTTCATTTTCAAATATCCTGTGTCTAAGTGAGAAGCTATGCCTAGATTGGATTCAGAACACGTAGTCAGTGCACCCAGTGTTCCCAGCGTCAGCCCAGAGTCGGGCCCATGCTGAATGCATCCTCTCATCCTTCATCTCCTCTCTTCGGCCTGGACAAGCAAGGAGGTGGCTTGTGCTCAGTCTCGGTGACCCTCCCTTGCTTTGTTATAGTCTCGACAAGTCTCCTGCCTGGAGGTTCATGCAGAATTGAGGAGGCGGAGGAAGAGTGAGAAAAGTGAGTTTTGTCCTCTGCCTGCTGGGGAAGGAGGGAGTGCTGCTTCCAAACCCTCTCACCCTCAGACTTGACCCAGACTTCCCTGGCCTCAGGGGAACCAAAACTTGGCAGGAATCCCTCAGAATCATCTCACCCTAGGGGGTCAAGAACCCCTTTCCTCCCCAGCCTGCTCTATAAAGGGAATGGTCTTCCTGGCACCCACATGACCCTTGGAGTTCCCCAGGCCTGATGAGAGTCCTACACCGACAATGCTCAGGGCCCCTCTAGCTCTGCCCCTTCCTCTAGCCAGATCACCATCCACAGAGAGTCCTAGCAGTTTACAGCTGGCAGGAACCTAAGAGACCCACAAATACCAGATTCCCCTCTCCCCTCTCACTCCCCCGATCCTGCCCATGCAGGGCTTCCAGCCTTGCCCTAAGAGAGGACCCAGGGGAGGGAGGGAGGGAAGGAGGAAGAGGCCTTCACCCCCAATGACAGTATGATGACAGCCTGCTTCCTCTGCCATGGGCCAGTGACTTGGGGGAAACTTCTGGAAAAGCAGAACCAAGGAGGACGAGTCCTGAGGTCTTGCTCAGCGACTCAAAGGGTTTTCTTGGGGACCTCATTGTCAGCATCACCCACAAGCCTTGTTAAAATGCAGATTCCCACCCCACCCTACAGAATGTGAATCTCTGGGGCATTTTAACCAGTGCCCCAGCTGATTCTAAACCCCTCCTGGGCGCGTCCAGATGGGCTTTTTGCTGTGCCTAGTCAGGGGTGAGAGGAGGGAGAGGCTTCCTGGGGTTCTCACCCTCTTGTCCTCTCTCCCAGTGAAGGACCTCTTGGTGACGGTGAGCGAGTCCTTTGAGAACACCCAGCGTGTCTCACCCTGCCCGGAGCTCTGGTGCCCAAACCCTGCCTGCTTCCACTACCCCAAGTACTTCCAGCCCCAGCTGCACATGCAAACCCCCAAGAGTCACTGGAGCTATGCGGTACAAGGCAGCTGCAGTGGGGGGGGCTTGGGCAGGCGGGGACTGCCAGAGAGCCCCTCACCCCACTCACAGAACTTGCCCATCCTTCCAGCTCTGCTGCTGCAACGCACACAAGAATGACCCTGTCTGCCAGCCTCTCGACTCCCTTTCCAATGACCAGGAGTTGACCCTGCGTGTGGTGAGACCTGGGTCTGGGAAGCAGCCCATGAGCAGCTTAGACTGGAGCTCCTGTGGCAGAGAGATGGGGAGAGCCTGGGGACACATGGGGGAAGGTGACTCGTGGGGTTTCAGGTGGAATGGAGGAATCTTATGGGGTAGGAGACTGATGAGCCACAGAGTGGATCCACAGAGAGTGTGTGCAGGCCGAGCTGAAGCCGGTGGGGAAGATCATGCCCAGAAGTGGGGATGATGCGTGCATGCATGTATGCTCGTGTGCGAATGTGTGTGCAAGCACGCGTGTGTGTGCTCAGTCAAGTTAAGGGTGGAGAGTGTGGAGGGTCTCCACTTCTTTGGGCTTGATCACTCGGCTCTGCACTGTCATGCCTGACAAGCTTTTCATCTTTCGCTCCCCAGGGCAAGAATTATGAATTACACATGAAGTCTACACCCTGGTAAAGTACCCTCTTTCTGTCCTTCCCTCTAACCTGGTCACACCAGCGGGAGGGAAATGGTATTCATTGTGGTTTCGATCTGCATTTCCCTGATGGCTAATGACATTGAGCATCTTTTCATGGGCTCATTGGCCATTTGTACGTCTTCCTTAGAGACATGTCTCTTCAAATCCTTTGCCCACTTTTTAATGGGTTGTCTTTTTATTGTTAAGTTGTAAGAGTTCTTCATATATTCTGAATACAATCCTTTGTCATATGATTTGTAAATATTTCCCCCTATTCTGTAGGTTGTCTTTTCACATTCTTGATAATATTCTTTGAAGTCAAAGATTTTTAATTTTGAGGAAGTCTGTTTATTTTTTCTTTTGTCACTTGTGTTTTTGGTGTCAAATCTAACAAAAGGTTGCCTAATCCAAGGTCATGAAGATTTACTCCCATGTTCTCTTCTAAGACTTTTATAGTTTTAGCTCTCACATTTAGATCTATGATCAATTTTTAGTTCATTTTTATATACAGTGTGAAATACGGGTCCAACTTCATTCTTTTGCATGTAGATATCCGGTTGTCTCAGCACCGTTCATTAAAAAGACTATTCTTTCCCCCACTGAATTGTCTTGACACCCTTATTGAAAATCAAGTGACCGGGTCCAACTTCATTCTTTTGCATGTAGATATCCGGTTGTCCCAGCACCGTTCGTTAAAAAGACTATTCTTTCCCCCACTGAATTGTCTTGACACCCTTATTGAAAATCAAGTGACCATAATCCCTACCTACAGCTTGATGAGCTATTTGTCCTTGGACAAGTTACTTAACCTCCCTAAGTCTCAGTTTTCCTCATCTGTAAATTGGGAGCAATAACAAGAATACTGCGCATCACTGGGTTGCTTGGAGGGTCCCATGAGATAGCCCATGTGAAGCACTCAGTAATCTGTCTGGCAAGTGGGACAATCAGCAAACATCAACTGTTATTGTTAGTATTGTTGTTTTTATCATTTATTCCTGGTTGAGGACAAGGAAAGAGTGATTTCCTTGCAGCTGTGTCTGCAGTCCTGTGCCAGACATGGAGGAGACACGAACGGAGAGTTCCCAGGCCCTGCCTTCCAGGAGATGTGACTTTGTTAATGAGCCAAGACTCAGGTCGGAAATTGTCAAGGTCCATTCACCTGGAGTCACTAAGGAGGTAGGCCTTGGAGGATGGAGAGATGTAGGAGGGCAAAAGAGAGGATGCTTCTGGTGAAGGCAAGGGCCTGCACAAAGGCTCAGAAGCTGGTCTACTCCTGGGAGCTCGGAGAGACTGACGGGCCCCTTCCAGGAAGGAGCTTGAGGTGAGCTTGGACGGGTCAGGAAGGGTCTTGGATACCAGGCGTGGAGTCTAGACTTGTTCAGGGTAGGGAAGTGATGAAAAGAGGGCAAGGGCTGGGCATGTCATAGCAGCTCCTGCCCCACCTGCCTTGCAGAATTGTGGGGATGACACAGTGAGATCAGGGATGTGAAGGTTTTTTGTCAACTGCACAAACACATAGGAGGATTATTATTCTAGGAGCAGGAAGAACTTAGTAAAGAATCTGAGCTCCATAGGGACAGGGAGCTTGTTTATCTAGCTCAAAAGAATTCATACTGTAGAGCCTTGTCCAGTGGGATTTGACGAAAGGATCTCAGGAACTCTATTGTCACTGATGTCTGGCCTCTGGCCTCGAGCTATAGAAGGCACCTGGGGGAAACCTTTCTGGACTTTCTAGATCTTGCTGAGGAGGCAGAGGGTTCAATGAATCCTCAATACAAGTACCAACAGTTATCTTTTGTTGAGTACTGGTTTACAGGGTGCCAGCTCAGACTTTGGGGTCTTTACATTTGCTATCTCATTAAGTGCTGGAGACAGTGCTAGAGTTAAGCACAATTACCCCATTTTACAGATGAGAAAGCAGAGGCCCAAGGTCACTGAAGCGGTACATGGCAGAACTGGGGCTCAAGCCTAGGTCCAGCTGACCATAAAGCCGCATCTGCTCCATGGTGGCGAAGCCTGCAGGCCCACTCAGCCAGGGCCCTCTCTCCCCACAGCTCCGAGCCACTGGACGTGCGGCTGGGCTTCAGCCTGTGCCCAGAAGAGCTGGAGTTCCTGCAGAAGCGGAAGGTGGTGGTGGCAGAGGCACTGAAGCAAGTGCTGCAGCTGGAGAAGGACCTGAAGGAGGACGAGGTGGGTCAGCAGAGATCCCCAGCCTGGGTTCAGGACTTACTCTGAGATGAGCTGGTCCTTCCAACACAGTGTGCTACCCCAGGCCCTTCCCTGCCCAGGGCTTACTCTGAGATGAGCTGGTCCTTCCAACACAGTGTGCTACCCCAGGCCCTTCCCTGCCCAGGGCTTACTCTGAGATGAGCTGGTCCTTCCAACACAGTGTGCTACCCCAGGCCCTTCCCTGCCTCAGACAGCCTCGGCACCACCTCTTACTGCTAAGGTGCCAGGTTCCTGGATGAGGGTCGTGCTGGATGTGATTTGGGGTTGTGTATTCACAAGGGGAGGGGAAGGCAGAGAGAAAGGAAGGGGCTCCAGCTGCTTGTCCCATGCACTGACAGATCCTGAGGTGACTAATTGATGTCTTACTTACCCAGGGACAAAATGACCTCCTCACCCCAGCCAGAAAAACATTTCCAGCTCCATCATCTCTGGCATCCCACACCTCCACCCAAAAGGCTTAGGTGGGCTGGCTGGTTAGCTCAGTTGGTTAGAGCACAACCTTATAACACCAAGGTCATGGGTTTGGGTCCTCATACCGGCTGGCAGCAAAAAAAAAAACACACAAAAGGCTTAGGTCCTTCATTCTTCAATTCTCTCTTCTCCCAAATACACACACATAAACACATCCCCAGAAATATCAGCAGTAGGGAGCTGGAGAGAAGCACAGTGGCTTCTTCACACGGGAGCAGACAATGGTGACTTCCTCAGAACCCTCTGTTTCCTCCCTCGTGTGGACTGAGGCCCACCCTCCCCTGGGCACTAGGTGAGCCCTCCTGATGCCCACCTTCTGAGGCTGGCCAAAGATGCAGAGACCTCGTGCCTGAGGAGGGCTTGTGACTGGACTTTAGTTGATGGAAGGATCTTACAGTCCCCACTGAAATGGAAACAGTTAGAGTGGGTCTCGGCAAGATCCCCTCCTCCCCACATCTGTAGGGAGACATACCCAGAGCATCTCGTTTCCCTGGGGCTGCAGCAGGGACCGAGGAACATGGCAGCCAACTATGAGTGAACCGCTGGTGCCCGGACCCCATCTCTCGCGGCTGTGCCAAACCCGCTAGGGTGGGTGGAGCTAGCTCGGCTGCTCTGGCTTCCCTCCCTCCAGACCCACCGGCCCATCCCCTGCCCGCTGCCTCCGCCCTGCCAAGCTCCTTGGGCAGCCTGAGGGGAGCAGGCAGGGCCCTGCTTCTGGGCTCCCTACTCCTCACTGTCTGTTGGTGACAAGAGGAGTGGGCAACAGGCTCCCCAGGGACACTAGGGTGAGGTCAATTTTCCCACAGGAGGCACAGTGCCTGGAGCCCACAGTACTTTATGGGGCCCACAAAAGTATATTAATGTCTTTTAAAATCAGAAGGAAGCAAAGGGCCGGCCTGTGGCTCACTTGGGAGAGTATGGTGCTGATAACACCAAGGCCACGGGTTCGGATCCCATATGGCCGGTTTGCTCACTGGGTGAGCGTGGTGCTGACAACACCAAGTCAAGGGTTAAGATCCCCTTAGCGGTCATCTTTAAAAAAAAAAAAAATCAAAAGGGAAAAAATGAACTTCTAGGTTGAAGAAAATGTTTTAATACATAACATTAATAATATATTTGTCTTTATACAACACAGTCATAAAATATAAATTTTAATATTTTTTCTGGTGGAAGGGGCCCATGAAAGTCATCATGTGGCCCTGGTTCAGGGTGGCGGAGCCCCATGACCACCCAAGGCCTCTCAGCCAGGGCTGTGTCTTATTCTAAGTCCGGTGAACCCATGAGTCCCCCAAATCCCTTGCTGTGCCTCTTATCCTAGAGGAGCTCTGGGCACCTCTTATTTGAGCAAGTGGATGTGAACCGCCCCTAGGAAAACCAAGGGCTCCTGGTGCCATGCCACCTGGTCAGGGGACTAGAAGCTTCAGCCCAGATGGCATAGAAGGGATCGCTGACAGTTACCAGTGTTGCCTGTGTGCCAAGCACTGTGGTGACCTCCTATGGATCATGTTGTTTCTTCCTCACAACAGAACTACAAGTGAGGTGCTGTCATTATTTTCAGCTGGTGAAACGTAGTAATTTGCCCAGGGTCACTCAGTTAATGAACTGTAGCCCTGGAATTTAAACCCAGTCCAGGGCCCACGTTCTTAATCTCTGCTTTAAATGGCTGCCTGTAGGTGGCAGGTGAAGAAGATGACTTGCTTCCAGCAGGGTTGGAGGGAACCTGCATCCTCCTGGACTACTGTGGGCCAGGCAGGAAACAAGGAGGGCCTCAAGCCAGGGCTAGGGTGCGAGGCTGGTCCCTTGGCCTGGGGAAAATATGATTTGCAATGGTTTTTGGAAGCTTTTAAAAAGTATAAAAGGGCCGGCCCGGTGGCTCACTCGGGAGAGTGTGGTGCTGATAACACCAAGGCCCCGGGTTCGGATCCCATATAGGGATGGCCGGTTCACTCACTGGCTGGGCGTGGTGCTGACAACACCAAGTCAAGGGTTAAGATCCCTTACCAGTCATCTTTTAATTTAAAAAAAAATAAAAGATAAAAAATATAAAAATAACAGAGTGAACCTTATGGAGAGCAGGGTGGTTTTGGTTAAAGAAATCTCCCGACCAACTTCTACCTTCCCCAAAACAAGTCCTGTGAGGGAAGAAGCCACTT